AGAGGCGGTTTCGCGGGAAATTTTGGCGGGATTTTTTTCATTTTTTTAATGAATCATAAAGAAAACATCCTCGCTCTTGCAAAAAAATGCAAAGACTGTAAAAAATCTACGAGACATTGGTAAAATGCTTCGGTATGGATGCTCCTAGCTCCACTGTAACGTATCATGTTTAGGATGTATCACTTCATGAACAAAAAGCGCCCATCATAAAAAATTGACAAAAAATTCGCCGGATCAAAGAAAAATCAAAGCAATTCTTCAAGCGCTAGATGAAGACCCAAGAGCATCACTCAGAAGATAGAGGAGATGACAAAGATACCACGTACAACAGTCAGTTATTATCTGCACAATTATTTGAACTACAAACTAGCGTATACACGTTGGTTCCGCACAACCTTAATTCAGTTCAAAAAAAATCTAGAGTCCAAGCTTCGAAAGAGCTCCTCTCTATATTGGGTGCGTATCAATCCAAGAAGTTTCGCTTTTTAGTAACAGGGACGAGTCTTGGTTTCAATATGCAACAGAAGCCAAATCATGTGGATCCCGAAGGATGAAAATCCACAAACATTCCCGAAGAAAAAAATTGACACACCAATGATGATGTTGTCGGTTTTTTGGGGCGTGAATGGCATCATTGCAATGATATTTCTTCAAAAACCTAATACGATGAATGCTCAGTATCTAATTGACAATGTTCTTACTCAAATTATCAATTCTGATGAGTTTGAGAAATCCAACAACAAAAACAAAAGTTTGCAATTCATTTTGATAATTCAAGAGTTCACAAAAGTCATAAGGGTAATGAATTACTTGGTGGAAAACAATGTCAAAGGTGTTCCAAACCCAATTTATTCACCTGATTTGCACCCTCTGACTTTTATTTATTCGGGCACGCTAAAAAAGAGAGCTGAAGGACGCGAATTCGCGAGTCCAGATGATCTTGAAAATTTTGTAAGAGAGCAATTTGAGCAATTTTCTCATGATGATTTAAAGCGTGTCTTTTCCAAGCCTGGAATCGATCGCTGCGAACGCTGTGATTGAATCCAATGGTGATTATATTTAAATAAACTTTATATATATGTAACTTGTTTATTTCTATTCGCAGTATTCAGGTTTGTGCTAAAACACACCTTTGGACACCCTTATTTAGTCATTATAGTAAACTCAGTCGGACATCCAAACATAATGAAACCTGCTCTAGTTGCAGCACATGTTACACCCGTACTTAAAGTATTAAATAAGTCAACAAAACCTGTTGGTGGTATATCTGAGTAAGTATCTTCAAAGGAGTATTTTTACCATTCACAACAATAAAGTCTTCTGGTGTCAAAAGAGCAAAACAGGCTTTAGTCGTCATTGTGTTTAAGGTTAGTTTACAATATCGTCCTGAGGACTTTGTAAGTTTGTTGTTATAGAATTATATGACTCAGGGTTTTTAGTCGTAATAGTATAAACCATTATGTCTTCTGCCATTTACTTAGCAAATAAATTTAATGAAATGTTGTGGTCGTCAAATATTTTTATAACGTCTGGGAAACTATATTTTAAGTTCAACGTTTCACCTCCTTTCATAACGTATATCTTGTCAATGACATTATATGAAACACCACAGCAACAATGTCGGGTTCTATTTCTTTGATGTTTATATCGTCTGCCTCTGTCAAAAGTTTCAATAGTTCTTTCAAAACTTCATGAGGTGCAATGACATATGAGTTCACTTTTACAGGGTTGTGTTCGACCAAGTTTAACATTATACTTAAAGCTTGACAAATCTTCTCCTGAGTTTGAAGTTTGTCTTTCAGTTGTTGGTAGTCGTTTCGAATATCTGCAACAGAACTTAAGTCTCTGCTAACTTCAGGATATGTTGGTTCTTTTACAGGAACAATTGTTATACCATCTTCGTCTTCGTATGGTTTCCCCACTTCAACATCTCTGTCTTTGACATTGACAATAACACTTTGACTGTTTGTTTGAGTTGGTGAATTTAACTTCACATCTGCCACCGCCATTAAACCTTTTGAAACACTTACGCTTCTATTTTTCGGAAATGACATTTTACTTAGAATAAAAAGATGGACGTATTCGGATATCTTATTGAATTGAAGCAGAACAAAGTTTATACTCACAAACAATACAATACATTGACAGAATAGTTCTTTACACAAACAATGGAAAATGTTATAGAATAGCAGTCTTTGCTGAACCTAAATATTTTCATAAAGCAAAGAAAGTTGGTATAACTGAAATGGTGAAAGTTCTTGAAGCAGACAAAAATATAACTTCAAAACTTACAGATATTCTAAAGGAAAGTTTATAATACAATATTATGTCAAAACTGGCGTACTGTCAATATTTGACGGAGAGAAGTCAGTTCAAGAACAACTTACTGACCTGCTGCCAAAATCTGCTCGATGGAAGCTGTCGTTATGCCAATCTGAGGAGCCCCAGCAGGTTTCATCGAACGAATCTTCAAAAGAGCATCTTCCGTGAAAAGTGCTATTGGTTTTGTAAACTTCTTTGCTTTCAATTCATCTGGACCGTCTCTGTCACCAGTATATTGTATTTACTGTACCAACAGTTGAAATACCACCCATAAAGTCTTCTGAGTCAGCAAATGGAATGCCAAGCCAAAAGTTTGAACGGTCTCCATTTGTATATTGAGTTTTTTGACCTCCTGTATGAGTCCATACTTTCACATATGGCATAATAGAACTTTGCATTTCAGGGTTAATGGTTGTTGTGAAGTTGTTGTTAAAGTTCATAGCATCTAATGTCAAGTTGTATGACCTCATATCCTCAACTGTAGAATATTCTTCTCTTGGATATATTTGCCATCTATGTTTATATGATATTTAATACCAGGGTTGTAGAAACAAGAATAGTCATTTATAGTTCGTCTGAACAGTACAAACATAGTATCTGCATGTTTCATTGCAGTTGTTAAAGCAATATCTGTTCTTGCACCTGGGTCAGCACTTTGGTTTCCAACTTCACCTGCAAAGTCTTTGACAGATATTTGGTGTATAGGGAACATAAGTGGAACTGCAATATATTTGGCAGCTAAAGCATTTGAAATATCTGGGTCCAACATATAGACTGCAAGTCTGCTTTCTATTCTCTTGCATTCAAATTTTTCGCATGTGAACTTAACTGGGTCCCAAGCATCTCCAGCAGCATTGAAATAATAGTTTACTTCATTGTTGAAGTTTGAGAAACCAAAGTCTAAGTCAACTTTGTCTTTGCAAAATTCGGCGAATGACGTTTTATTTGTTCCCTTTACGTCTGTAAGAGTGAATGGGTCTTGTGTTGGTGCAATGACTAAGTTATTTTTGCTTGGAGTAAGTTCGATAGAAATTTTTCCTGCCCAGTTTGGCAAGTATCTTAAAAACCTGAAGATGAGGAAAGATGACAAAGGAACTCTAAGTTTCAGTTTTACTTTAGTGGCAGCATTTCCATCTGAACCAGAAAGGTTAACATAAACTCCTGGAACGTTAGGGTCAAGTCTTCTTATTTTCTCAATATTTGCATACTGGTCTGTTTGTTCTCTAGCTTGTGGTTGTACTGAGTTTCTCAAAGCGAACCATTCATAGTTTGCCCATGTTACTGTTTGAACTAAGTCAGAGTTAGAATATATCTTATATCCCATGAAAACTTCTGGAGCATATTGGTATCCGACATAGAAAATTCCATTGCAACCTTTCTTGTCAGACAACTTGGCAGAAGGTTTTATTTCAATGTCTTGTTCCACGTATAAGAATGAGTTGTCAATAGAAATAATATGAAACCTGTCGCAAGCAATATCTACTGTTGTTGAAGAACCTTCTCCAAACTCACCTACGTTTCCATAAGAAACAGCAGTTGTATATTCGTAAGTTCCAGGAACTATTTCTGACCTTCTAATGGCATTGTCGCATTCGTTATACCATTCGGAAACATTTCCGTTCATGGCATCCAAAACTGTTGGCGTTATATTCTGAGCGGCGTACATTTCATATGGGTAAAAATATAGAATAGTTGGATTTATATGTCATAATAGAACCCACTCGGACCAAGCTTTACTTTCTTCCTGACTGAGTTTTTAACTCTTCTTTTTCCTTCATTGCCACTACTTTCACTAGATGAAGTTACTTCTTCACTACTTTCACTTTGTTCTACTCTTCTCTTCTTCTTTGGTGTCGCTTTTGGTAACTTGCCCTCTGCTTCAAGTTGTTGCATCTTTGCCTCATGTTCACCTAGTATGTTGTAAATTTCCCATGTCCTTTTTGCCTTTGGGCTCTGGTCGCCCATCTCAGGTAACCTATATCCTAGAAAGATTTTGTCATAGTTTGTATTTGAGTCTTCGCGTATTGTTTGCATGACTCTTTCCTGAGTTTCCGGTTCAAGCTCTTCAAACAGAGCTTGTCCATATGGAATAAGCTCGTTTCCAAATATATGTTTTTGTAGCCATTCTGGTTTTCTTTCCATGTTACCAATAATATCTTTTGTGAATGGGAAAGCTTTTACCCAATGTTTCAGTCTTGCGTCATTTATTTCTGTAGTTGGTTTTATTTTGTCAAGGAACATGTTTTTCAATACTAACATTTCATTTGGTACTGTCCATTTGAGTTTTCTTAAATATTCATCCCTTCTCGGTTCATTGTCTGCAAAGTAAGTTTTTATGACATTTTGCAAACTTTCGTTTGCAAGGTCATGTACAATAGGTTCTCTTCCTTCTCTCTCCCTAACTTTCTTTCTAAACTCTTCACCAAATATACCATCTCTATGGTTCTGTGTAGTTCTTTGAGATAAATGTTCTAGAACGTCAGGTGTTATATTTCCATCAGCCATGTTCATTTCATACTGGTCCAAAATATCTGCATCTTTCATATCTTTCAATGGCATTAAAGCCGCGCTGAAAATACCAGCTATATCTGGTTCACCATTCACTTCCATTGCGTCTACAACTTCTTGGAATTGTGGTTGTAAGTTTATGAACCACCTATCCGGATTAGCTTTATGACCCCATCTCATTGTAGTTCCATAGTCTGCAGAAACAAAAGTAGGTTTGTTTCCATATTGGTTAGGTTCTGAATGAACTTTAAACAATGTTTCATTTCTATATGTTTTGTTGAAATTTAACCTTTTATTTTCACCGAGTTCAGCCAAAGATTGAACGTTATATGGTCGTAAGTAAAAAGGATTATTGTATTTGCGTACATTTTCTTTCAGTACTTCCATTCTATGCTGAATATTTTCATCTGATGTTGGAGTCTTTTGTATGTCGGTGAACATTTTTCGATATTCTTCTACTCTGTCAGCCGAATTTTTCTTAGACGCTTGGAAAGATTCCATATTCTCCTCATAATCTTGTTGAGGGTCAAGATTTTTCGGCTGTTCCAAATCTTCATCTAGTTCTGTGAAGTTAGTTTCCAAAGGAGGGACTTGTTCGTTTCCTTCAGGCTCTTCTAGCTGTTGTTGCTGAACTATTTCTTCCATGTCTGGTTGTATCTGAACTTCTTCCTGTTGAGTTTCTTGTACCTCATCTGGTGGCATTTCATATATTCCGAGACCGTTTTTAAAAAGTTCCCTATCTAAGTCATCCGGACTCATAAACCTTTCTTCTTTCGTTCCGTCTCTATTTTTTACGCGTTTCATGAAGAGAGTTGAATTATCATTTAGCTCTGACATCAAATATCTCGGAGTAAATTCATCCATGTCATTTGGATGATATGCTATTAAATCATATCCCTTAGCGAGCTTGTATTTTCCAGGTTTGAAATTATATCCCATTTGGTGCTGAACCATAAAGCTAAATAGGTTCGGGTCAGTATTTCCTTCCTTGAACTTTTTAATAGCTTCTTTATATCTGTCACTAAAGTCAAGAGTATCTGGGTAACCATAATCTTCCTTAAGCATTTTTAAGAATTCTTGGTTTCCTTGTTCTCTACTTCTTTTATGTCCTTGCTCTGTTTGTGGTTGTTGTGGTGCTGGATTTTGAACTGTTGGTTGTTGTTGGGGTGCTGGATTTTGAACTGTTGGTTGTTGTTGTGGTGCTGGATTTTGAACTGTTGGTTGTTGTGTTGGTTTTGGTGCATGCCTGTGTCTGTGTCCATGTGACGATGTAAATGTTTTAGGTAGTCCTGGTGCAGGTGCTTCTCTTGGAGGGTTTGGTGGTATATAAGTTCCACTAGCTAGTATATAAGTTCCACCAGCTGGCACATATGTTCCATCTGCAGCATAATGTCCTACCTGACTTTTCGTTCTTAAGAAAGCATTTACTAGGTCTGTTTTGGTCTGTTGTAACTCTTTTTCTTGACTTTCCACAACAGTTGCTCTAACGGCGTCATAGGCACTTTGAACTGCCTGTCTCGTTGCTGCATCTGTTATTTTCGTCATATTTTGTGCTACTTCTCTTAACTCTTTGTCGAAACCTTCAGACTTCAGTTTCTTTCCAGATGAGAAGTCGTTCACTAGTTTCACCTTACTATGAAGAGCTTCGAAGGCATTCTTAAAGTCAGCATTCATTAAAGCTTCATTTGAACTGTCTTCATCCGCTTGTATTTTTGTCCTTATTGACCCTATAAGTTGGGCTGCTTTAGCGTTGGCTTGGGCATCTAACCAGTCATTATTAGCTTTTATAATATCTGCGCTTTTCATTGCCTTTTGCATGGCTGCGTCGTTATTTTTACTTTCTTGTGCTAAGTTTTCATACTGTACGGTTTGGTTTTGCAACTGTAAAAGTTTTTCTGCCTTTACATTTGCTTCAACTTCTTTTTATACTCATCGCTATCCATATATGTCTTCAGGGCTTTTTGTTTTATCTCTTCATCTTTCAGTACTTTATATTGAGTAGTATGGTTTTTCAAATTTATAACATCTTGTTCCATTTTTGCTACTTCTGCTGCTTTTTCTGACACTTTTTTCGCATATTCCTCTGTACTTAGTTCTTTTCAGTTGTTCTTCTTTCTTCTTTTTCTCTACGTTTAACTCATTGAGTTTCTTTGTGTGTTCTGTCATATTCTAGTTTTCTTTTCGTTTTCTTATTTGTTTCTGTATGTTAGTTTGACTTTTTGACATCTGTTATTTGATTTTGAGTGAACTCAAATTCATTTGACTTTGAGGGTTATAAGCTGTTCCGTCTGCAGCTCCACCATAGCCTGCCATTTTCGCTAAAAGTGCCGCTCTTAAACCTCCACTCTGTGCACCAATAAACTCGGTTTAAAAGCATAGGGTTGCTTGACATTTGTTGCAACATAGTGGGGTCATTCATCATTTGTTGTTGCAACTGTTGTTGTGGTGTCAGTTTTTACTATTGGATGTTTCAATGCCCCTTCCTCTTACGTATATTTTACGTAGCTTACGTGGCATTTTAAGTGAAGTTAAAAAGCGTTTTTGACAGATGTTTATATAACACTTTTGTTCAGCACAAAAAACTACTCGGTCAAAGTGTCAGTTTTGTAAAATAACCGTCCTTCTCATTCTATAAGGAGAAAAGGCTTCTCAAAGTATACTTCCTTGGAACGCCTGTAACTTTTCCTGTAGCGACGATAGACCTTTACTTGTCCGGACAAAGTTATACTATTTTTGAGTGCTCTACAAAAAAGTCAACGGCGACGACTCTCAAAAACCGTTGTGTAAAAAGTTTTACGTTGGACAAAAAAGTATATATAGAAAAAAAAAACGTTTATAGTTCATTCAATATTTGAGATGGAACGGTTTGCCAACGGTAACTATTAAATAAAATAAAAAAATAGAGGGGGTTACTGTTGACAAAAACCGTTTATTTCAAACTTTTCTATGAGTGGTCCGAAAAAAAACAGTTCATTTTTCATAATGGAAGGAAGAAAAAATGTCGCAGTTAAAGTTCCTACAACTTATGTCTCACCATTCTCAAAACCCTTACGACCTCCTATAATACCAAAAAACTTCTCATACAATTGCAAACAAATGTTGGAAATATGCATTTGCACAAAGAAACAGCTCAGCCAACAGGTCAGGCAACAACAACTATCGGAACAGAAGCATTTCAGAAGAAGTTCATACAATCAGACTCCAATCGAACATACAGAAAACACAACCACCCGAAAATACAGAAACACATCCAATCGAACATTCTGCAATGACACTAGGTCGCAAACACGATATCTCGCCTTTAGCAAACAATTTAAGTCTCAAATTCAAGACAACACAAGATAGCGACACTCCTCTTTCAGAGAAAGTTCGTAGAAAATACGCAAAGAAAAGGTTTAGAATTGTTAGATAGTTAAATGAAACAGTGGGGTTCAGAAGACAATCGAGATTATAACGAGATGTTTCAAGCTGTCATGGATGCCATTCAGCCTCTGAAAACGAAATCAAAGACCCTGGCGTACTTGTTGACATGTTTGCTTCATATTTACCGTTACTGCCAATCTCATAGCGTTGCAAGCTATTGACCAGTTCATTCACTTGTTTCCAAAGAACTTGCAGAAGCATTTACAAGAAGTTAAAATTGCTGAATTTGTCCGTTTATATCCAAATTCATACAATTATTTGGAAGAATTGAATGAACATGGTGAAAGGTCATTCTATTTATATTTCTACACAAAAGACAACCAGTCAAAACGACTATACTGCATTGAACCTATGCCTCAATTCTTAGACAATTTCCACGTTATAACAACTGTTGCTTTAGATATTCCTGCCAGAGTTCCATATGGAGGAACAGTAACTATCTCAAGCTTTCCCAAGGGCTATAAAGGAAAGCCTCTCACAATTGCAAAATTCACACACAGCAGTTGCCAATTTGTTCAAGATGTCGAGTTCCATTTCCTCAACAATACGACTTTCATCATAGAGACTCCTCAAGAAGGTATATACAAAGTTTTCATCGCAGGATTTGTTGCTCCCAATGGCGAAGAAGAAGTCGAAGAAATCCTCACCTCAGAGAGCGAAGAAGAAGTCGAAGAAATCCTCACCTCAGAGAGCGAAGAAGAAGAAAATTTCCAAGACATTCAAGATTCAGAATATACCGAATAAAAAAAACAATTTAAGACTAAAAATTTAATTTTATTGTAATATTTTTATTTTTTTCATCTGGTCTTTGTATCATTCCTCCTCTAGTTTCTCCGGGGCTAGAGGGCGCAACGCGCCTGGAAGCCCCACTACCTTTTTTTTTTTTAAATAATTATAAATTTCAAGTTAAATTTTAATTTTGATAAATAATTTAAATTTCAAAATATCAAGTTCAGTTCGACTATGTATGTAGTAATTCCTCAATAAAGTGCCAAAACCCTATTAAAATATATGAACATTTTCAACATTTTAATGTTTTTATTTAAAAATTTGATGGAATATGAGCTTCAAACAATTATTATGTAAATAAAAATAATTAAATATATGTATTTATTCGTATTACAACCGTAATAAGTCGATTCTTCCTTTCTTCTACTGAGGTTTGAATTTGATTTCGAATTGTAAAGAGATTCAAAGGGAAAATACTAGCGGAGAAAAACTACCTCCATGAAAGGGTCATAATGGAGTCAAGTTGTATTTTTTGATATTTTTTGCTTTTCGAGCCTAAATAGGTAGCCAAGATAATGCCTAAAAATAAGGTTCTAAATTCTGAAGTTTACATGATCCTCTCGTGTGCACCCTTAAGATAGATTTAATGATTTCAATATACCTTGATAATCCTCCTACTTGTTCTTTAAAAAAAAAATCACAAATTCAGAGAGGAATCCCTGACTACTCCGATTTTTACTTCAATATAGATGCTTTCACCCCCTTATATTTATGGACTCACAGATACACAAATGTAAGAAGCATTTAAACACTATACAAAGGATTATAGGGGGAGTTTCTTGCTCTTTCCGACGAAAGATTTAAACGGCAAATGTATGAATACTTCCAATTAGAGACCGAAATGAATTTCAGATTCTTAGTGAGGCATAATATACTAAGAAAAGAATCTTATTTGCCGTCAGAAACAGAAAAAGAAAAAAGAAAATTATATTACATTGCTAGAACAAGCGAATTTACAAATCTTATATATGAACTAGATAATTTGAGTCAGAATATAGATAGATGCTACCAAAATGTCAGATTTTTAATTCAAGATCAACTAGGGTTTCGAATATTCTGTAAAAAACATTATGGTGGCAGAGCTACTGAAGAGGCAACTGCTGCTTGGGCAAAAATGGAAACAAAAGAAAAATCTGCTTATCTTGACGAAGAATTAAAGAAAAAGGCAAAAGAATTAAATTTGTGATGTAAAAATTATACGTATATGTTCTATTCTAAAATGTTGTCTATCTGTTTTATAACATTCTTTTGATTTTATTTAGAATTTTTTCCTGAGATCTTTATATAATATGAATATATATAGAAACTAATTTCAACATATTTCAGCTTCACATGTTGAATATGGTTTATGCTGTTTTGTTCTGAGATTTTCGCATTCTATTGTTGGGAAAGTCGTATTATTGGAAATAGAAAAGATAGATAATATTTAGTAAGGAAACAAAGATATTTTAGAATAAAACTTTAAAAAACAGCAAATAAAATATAATTATTTGATCATCTCATTAAATGAACATGCCCACATAGTAAGCATTGAAGCATTATCACATGTGATAAATGAGCCAACAAATTTACCAACATTTACGCAGTCGTAAACAATTGATCCCTTATGTTGCAAATTCTGAGAAGGACCATTCTTTGGCCATACGATAGCGCGACCATCTGTTGATCCTGATACAATAAAATCGTTTTTAGACGAAATTGAGACGCAGCAAGAGCCAATTATTGATCCCATGATTGGAGCACGAACAAACTCTTTGTCAACGAACAGAGGAAGCTCATTTCCAATAGTGCGAACAATGCCATCAAAGGAAGTAACTGTAATTTCGCTAGTTCCAGAGATTTTCGAAATTGCTAATTCTGCTTGTGAAAGTTGTATTGACTGGTAGGGTTTCCACATTCTTGGATCTATAACAAGTATCTTTCCGTTTTCTGTTCCGATCAACAATCCGAGATTTGTTTTAGCAATCGTTGTAACAATGTCGTAATTATCGATCGACTGAACTGTAGGCTCTCTTGGGTCGGAGAAGAAAATTATGTTCGTGCAGGAAGCAATGGCAAAACAATTATCTACAATTGTGTGGGAAACAGAAGGACATTCTAGAGCAATAGAGTTATATTTGGCTGTAGTTATATCCCAGATCTTTAGTGTCGAGTCTAATGAAACAGAAGATAGATTGGATGAATCAATCCATTTGACAGAAGTAACTGGTCCTCTGTGACCTACTAATGGTGTAGATTGCTTTGTAAGAGGATTTTTCTCTTCTGCATCGCTGCTTGATTTTTCTGTTGAAAATCGGTATAATGTACCTGATGAATTTCGATTTTTTTGCTTTGAAGTTGTATCTGAGTCATTTTCTGGTTGCTCAGCTGACCACAAAGAAATTGCGCCATTTAGTTGGCCAGCAGCTATAAAATATCCATCTTCAAGACAAAGAGCTGGAGCATCAAGAACTACAGAGCCTGCTGAAGCAAATCCTGTTGTTGGATGAACTTCTCTATTGTCTTTTGATATTTCGAGAAGATCATTGCATACAGTTACAGAAGGCATAACATTAACAAGTCCTTTCTGCAGTGTACTTGAGATTTCTTTAACTTTTTCTTCGGCATCTTTAACAAGAAGTTCAAGATACCTATTCTGCTCTTGTAATTTTAAGTTATCCTGCTGAAGAAGATGATGATGCTTTAGCATTGTTTTACAAAATTTACAAAAATTTACAAAATCTATATCTATTATAAAAGGTATATACTCTAGATTTGCCAATCGATTATAAACACAAAAAATCCTGGCAATTTTTCCTAAAAAAATGTTGATTTATCTCCTCTCAGAATCTAAAACTTATGTTTTGGAGGTGAGAGGAGATGAAACAATTAAAGATATCGAAGACATCATAGTGAACGAATTTAACATCCAACGCTCCGAATTTACTTTAAATTTTGATTCAGAAATCGAAGTAGATGAAAAAAACAACAATTTCGGAAATATATTTATCTATAAACGAATGCATTATAATGGATCCTGCATCTAAGAATGACAAACATTCTGATTCTGATAGTGATGAGGAAGATATGAAAGATAATAGAGTATTATTACCACCGAGAACTACATATTATTACAACCAGATGTTTCCTAACCATAATGATGAGAATAACTTTCATTATGATGAAAATAAATTATATGATGATCCACCAAATATGCAAGAGCTTGTTGAAAACGTTCTAGAAATTGGTGTTTCACAGGAAACTGCAGTACGCGCTCTTAGGCTAGCAAATTACAATTTTGTTGACGCGTGCTTGCTAATAGACGAAGATTCACTTGGTGATGGAAGCTTAGAGTCATCAAAATCGAATAATGCATTGAAACCAAATTCAAACAATCAAAATCCGTCACAAATTAATCGGATTCCGAAAGAATGGCTGGAACAGCTTTCTACTAGAGAACAAGCCGAATTAACACGACTTTTTAAGAAATATGGAATAGTTGAAACTATTAGAGATGTTTATCTAGCAACTGGCTATGATGAACAAATTGCAGATAATATTTTGTCTCAATATATTAAATAAGTAAAATTTGTATGTTATTCGTAGTATTTCTCCATTTATAGTCGATTTTTTTTAATAAAATTTCTAATATTTTCATTCTGATGCTTAGAAAGCAGATAAAAACTATGAGCAATCACTGTCGAACAATTAAGATCGTATTCAATCAATTGGCATTAGAAAATGCAAATTATATTTGACGATGGGCAAAAACATCTATTACTTGATCTATGGGACAGCTTTAATAGTATTTAAGTCCATTGTTTCGAGAGATTTTTATTGCTCTCGAGATATAATTCTTGAGATGTATCAAGGCCTGCTCTAAATGTAGCAGTCACATTCCATTTGTATAGAAAATTCATTACTTTGATGAACCAATCTCTTTGATTTTCGGTAAAAATAAGAACTATGCAAATAAATGGTAAAAAAGGGGGTTGGCGTCCTAAGGCGTCCTAGTGTAAATTTCTCAAAATTGTGATATTTACATCACATTTTTGAGAGGTTTATGGGCGTCCTAAGGGAAAATTGAATAGCTAGGGCGTCCCGAATTTTCATTCTAAGATTTAAATATATTATATACTTAAGTATAATACAAGCAATATAAAAATTAAATTTTTATTATGTTAACTTATAAGAAATTTTTTTGAATTATCGTTGATTTATTGTAATCTTTCCAGGCTATATTTTTGAAATCAACTTTACCTGTCATACGCATTAATGTAGTAGATGTCCAGGTGTAGCTATTATATCCCAGCAACATTGGTATTTTATCATTGTAAGATATCAAAATGAAGTGTTTTTTCAGATATAATTTTTCGTAAATTTTTCAAAAATAAGATGGTAAAAAAGCCTCGACTTGCTCGAAAAATAACAATTTTTTTACTTGTAAAAATAACCCTTTTACAGCATGGGCAGCTATTCAATCACTATTTCTTTTTCTAAAAGTATATTTTTCAAAAAAAATTAAGATCAAATTCGACAATTTCTTGATGAAAGCAAAAATATTACACATACTTCTAGATGCATGGGATAAAATATGCAATTATTCGAGTGCGGGACAAATTTGCCAGGTGTCACTTTTTCAATAACCTTAAATTACGCTTTTCTAATTTTTTAAAATAACCTTAAATTATATTTGAAGAAATTATGTCTATGATATATGTTTTATGCTAGAATCTTGGAGTTTTCATGCACTACACAAGAGCTCCAAGGTTCCAAGAGTGAATGCTCAATACTGAGACGAAGAATGGCTTCGCCGAATCTTTGATCAGCAGAGGCCAAATGAAAAGGCCTCTGCTGATGGATTCTCAGGAGCCCTGAGGCTCCCTTTCGTAATGATTGGGAGCCTTGGGACTCCTGAGACGAAGAATGGCTTCGCCGAATCTTTGATCAGCAGAGGCCAAATGAAAAGGCCTCTGCTGATGGATTCTCAGGAGCCCTGAGGCTCCCTTTCGTAATGATTGGGAGCCTTGGGACTCCTGAGACGAAGAATGGCTTCGCCGAATCTTTGATCAGCAGAGGCCAAATGAAAAGGCCTCTGCTGATGGATTCTCAGGAGCCCTGAGGCTCCCTTTCGTAATGATTGGGAGCCTTGGGACTCCTGAGACGAAGAATGGCTTCGCCGAATCTTTGATCAGCAGAGGCCAAATGAAAAGGCCTCTGCTGATGGATTCTCAGGAGCCCTGAGGCTCCCTTTCGTAATGATTGGGAGCCTTGGGGCTCCTGCAGCAGAGTATCGCTCCGCTCCATTAAATTTTCTAAAAAAAGTGCCGTGTGGCAAATTTGTCCTGTTCCCCATCTTTATTATTTTTTTTATTCCTTTGAAAAGTGACACTGGATAGTTTGTCCCTTTCTCCAATTATTCAATCAATTCGCATGATTTGAAAAAAAAATCTAAATTTGATAAAAATGTAGAAATTTTTTATTTTTAACTTGAGATTCGATTTTTTTGATCCAATTTGTGAATTTTTTTTTGATCGGAATTTCAATTAATTTGTTGATCAAAAATGACCTCACAATGTTTGATCATAAGTGAAGTCATCTTCATGGGTATTTAGAAATTCCAAGAGAAATTGCTTATTTCTCGCAGATGTAATATCTGAGAAAATCGAATTTAAATATTCATAGAAACCCAAATCATTCTCCGGTTCGAATAATTCATCTGTTGCTTTTTCTGTTTTTTTCTATGAATTTTAATAATTTGATTAATAAATCTTCATCAGGAAGAATTATTGCTGCATTTGTGATAAAATTCCATATTGAGGTAATATGGCAATAATTACATTTATAAAATGTAATTTTATCCAAAATTTTTTGGCAAATTCGCATAATAGCATTAATATTTGAAGCTGAGATTAAACCTGTGATTACTTCTGTAACTTTTGGAAAATCATCGCAATTTAATATCTCTTTATATTGAATTGAGAAATAAAAAAAATCAAATGGATTCATTTCTTCAATTTCAAGGAGATTGTAAAAATTGATAGAAGTGTTATTGCAACAAATTGTATTTGCAGCAAAAAATATCATTTGCTCGATTCCATTTTTGGAATAAATTTGCTGGAACAATGTTAAATTAAAACAGTTGCTTAATTTTTCTTCATTGTTTTCATAAAAAAGTAACAAGTTTGCAACTGAAATTTCAAAATTTTGATAATTGCCAGTTATTTCAGTAAATATATATATTTGCTTTTCTTCATCTAAAAATGGCAAATATTGATTTGCAATATTAACTAAAGTTTGGGATAAATTGTTCCAGTTTGATTTTACAATTTGTGAGCACATTATGTAATATGTAAATTTATCCGCTTTGTAGGAATTTAAAATTGTTTGTTGTTCTGTTTCAGTTAAATTACTGAATTTTTCAAGATTAATATTGTGATAAAAAATAGAATCCTTGAAACATTCTGATATCTTTTCAATGTTTAAAACGGATGCTAAAAAATGTAAAAGAACTTCATCAGTCACTGTGATTTTTTTGAAAAATTTATCCCAATTCAAGCATCCAATTGATCTTTCTGTCATTGTACTTATGCATTGATAAAGTTGATTTAATGAATCCGAAGAATAATCATTATGCTTGACTAGTTGAGTTAGTTGATACAGACTGTCGTCAGCCATTTTAAAAAAATGAATAAAATTGTATAGTAAATTATATTTGTGAATTTTGTGACGCTACATTCAATCTAAGACCAATATCTCAAAGAATTCCTCATTTAAGTATTACTTTTCATTGTTTTTTAAAAAATATCTTTGCTTATTTGTTCACTTTTTTGACATTTATTATATGCTTTTTATCATATTTCCGATGATATGAATATATATTCTATATAAGAATAACGCTACATTCAATCTAAGACCAATATCTCAAAGAATTCCTCATTTAAGTATTACTTTTCATTTTTGATTCAATTTTCGAACGGTTTTCGTAAATTTTGCATCATTTCATTTTTTAAGGATACCCTTACATTGCGTAGTTAGAAAGAGAATATGATATTGTCATGATTGCTAAAGTTTTAGGCTCCAGAAATGAATATACATCAAACTGAAACAATTGATAAATTGAATGAACTTTTGAGAGGTTCTCAAATAAAAAAAATTATCTAATTTTTTACAATATTACTATTATTTTATCCACATATGTATATATAGTAATTTGAGAAAACTTTTAGGAAAAAATAAGTTTAATAAAAATCTGAATTTTACTTGTTGTGGGATTGTTATTAATTGACACTCCAGACGTATTACTAATAGTTATGCGTATGCAATTAAAGTATTTCTGATGGACAAAATGTGAGATTTATATCAGATAATTCATTTCTACTATTAAGTTATTCATTTATGAGTTTGCACTTATTCGCACTAAATAAATAACTATTAAAATTGTTTTAATTAATTGACACCAGTACAGTATACATTGTGCGTCGCCTGTAGCCTACAGCTACAGGCACCGACACAATGAAAAAAGTGACAGAAAACTGACACCATACGGGCGCGCATATGTACGCATATATGTGTAAAAATAAACGTTCATATGTAAACTAACCTTTATTCACTAGCAGGGGCTGATAAATCATAATCGTCGAGAAGTACGATAGGTGGTCCCACCTGTTTAATCTGTATGGAGAGGCAAACGTGACGTAAGAAGCATAACACTGGTTTCTCAGTATATTTAATAGACTCTGCTGTTGGCTTAACTGTAAGCTTATATGTAATAGGTGAATTAGATAACTGACCCTGTTGGAATGTATAATCAGTTTCGCAAGGGAATCCACATAAGTAATGACCTAAGTCATTTGACTCGATTCCAAATTGAGGGACTGATGTGGTTGTGATAGACCTCATGACATCATAGTTGAAGCCAACAGTATCGTTATTATTGTTAGTGGCATTTGCCTGCATCTCATAGAAGATTGGATCATTAGATGCTTGAGCCTCAGCGGGTATGTTACCATATGCTCCACAGTTCAATTGAATTTGTTCAAACAATGGATTTTCATAGGTAGTGTTATAATTAGGTGTTTTCTTAAATAGTGTATAAATGGTGTTCACATATAATGGAGTAAATGCTGCCGTGAATGTACAAGGAGTTCCTTCACCTTTAGCCATTGAACCATCCATAGTAATGCAGTCAATTCTTTTGATTGGGAAGTTTAGAGTCTTTGCCGAATATCTTGTCACCAAATCACTATAGATGTTAGGGTCCAAAGAGAATGAGTTACAGTATGTAATCATTTCAAAGAAGTTTGCATTCTTCTTAGTGAACTTAATAAACTTGGTACCAAATGATATCGTACTCTTATCGGCATTCCAAGTTACAGTATCAATAACTTTGATACCTTCATAGATAGGAGTGAAGTGATTAGTGATTGGAATATAGCTTGTAACATTGGCTTGCATGTTCGGTAATGGTAGAATATCCTGATAACTTAATGGTGTCCAAACCATACCAGCAATACTGAACTTAACCTTAAGTTGTAAGTTACCAGCAAACGCTGGAAGGAATCTAATGTTATTAAGTATTAGGAATCTTCTTAGGTCAATCTTGATTGGTATGTGGAACTTTAATGTAGTTGCACCACTAATTGGTTTATTGAACTCAATAATCTGTCCAGAACGAACTGTATCACATCTATTGAAAACATCTTTATGTCTAGCCTTACTAAATACATCAACTTTCTTAATAGCTTCTGTTGTAGATGCAGTAGAAGTAATGTAACCTTCTTCTCTAGCATTATCTTGTGTATAAACACTTTTACCATTAGCGATTAATTGATATGATTCAACAGCATAGAATGAATCAATGTATCCCAACCAAATTGCTGGAAGATGTGCACATGATTTGCCACCAGCATATTTAGTATCAATTGCTTTAATTGCTGTAACATTTGATCCTGTAGGAGCTGTCTCAACAGCTCTTTCTTTATATACTTCACCATCATATTTAGGAACTTTTTCATCAGCTGGTTCAGTTTCTGTTGTAATTATGCACTCACCATCGACATAACCACTAATGAACGTATTATATAAGTCAATCATGTTCTCACCAGGTGGTGATATGTTAAATGTAATATAACCGTTATCAATAGTATTTGTCGGCATAGCTGGCACTTTTGTTGGGACATATCTATGGTTAGTATCTCCAATAGGAACTGCCCCATCAACTTGATCGAAATAATATCTTACTTGTCTGATGGAATCAGCAATACTGTATGTATTGAGGTTATCGTTCAACATCTTTCTCAGCTATAAAAAATTTACAATCTTCTTATTCTTGGGATTATTCGTCTTATTTGTGGCTGAGGTTTAGGAGGTTCTGGTTCAGGCTCTGGTTCATCATCGAAGTGTATTCTTTTCTCTTCCATTGATTGAACATATTCTTGATTCTCTTTAGTTTCCTTCTCACGTTCAATTGGGTCCATGTTTGGTTCATTAACTACACTGTTACGTTCTAATATCTTTGTCATCATCTCTAACAACATTTTATTAGTATATGCTTGTTCTTCTTCTTTCTTCTCATCAACTTTAGGAGCTTCTTGAACAACAGGAGCTGGGGCAGGAGCTGGTGAATTCAATGGTGCCTTTCTCTTTCTAACTTGAACTGAACCATTCTTCATATGACAAACATAATATAATGGATGTTGTATTCCTTTAGCTTCATTCAATATGATTGATTGCTTTTCACTTGGTGAAAGTTTTGACGTCATTTCTATCCTAATAAAATTTTTTACTCCTAACAAAATGACTGAGAATACTTTCGACAGAGAAGCACTCAAGAATGAACTTCGTGAAGAAATACTTAATGAACTCAAACCAAAAGAACAAACACAAGAAGAGAAACCAGCTAAACCAAAGCGTAAACTCACAGAGAAACAATTAGCTGCATTAGCAGCTGGACGCGCAAAGAATCCACGAATGATTGCAAAGAAATTGAGAGAAGAGGAAGAAGCTAAGAAAAATAATAAGTAAGTGTTTAGAACTTTAACTTACGTTCAAAAGATGACTTCGTTGAAATAGTGAAGTCCTTATTTTTGTTGAAGCATGGTTTCGAACCAATGCACAAGTCAAAGGTTATCTCATCACCTTCATAAAGAGATTTGTACAATTCCACGATGCTATATTTTTCCCCAACTTTCTCAGGGAAGAACAAACCTTTCTTCTCGTCATAATGTACTTGTATCGCATCTGGGAACATTTGGTTTGCAGTAAGTGCAATTACGTCCTGTGTGATTCCCTTCATTCGACAGTGGAAAGCAATTTCCTTGAGGTCATTGGTAATTCGTCGAGGTAAGTCTTCTTTCCAACGAATATAGATCTTTGTGCCTTAGACATATGTCCTGCAGTAATCTCTGCAAAGTCTGAATGAAATTGACCCAGTGCTTTTCCAATGAGTTCTCTGTTATACCTTCTCTTGTATTCTTCTGCTAACTTATCTAAGTCCTTCTCATACAAGTGTAAACTATCTGTATCCTGATAGAACAACTTCAAGCCCAAATCTTCTGCTGTGAAGAATACTTCATTCATGATTCGTTTGGACATAGAAAGGATTGAAACACCTAATGGACAATAGTTAAAGTGACGAACGATAGGTTTAAATGACTTTACACATGAAAGTTCGGAATCGGGGATGAACTCTATTGTCTGTATGTCATTATAGTTCTTAATGATATAGTCAGTGAGCTTATTGTCCTTGATGAAACGAATCTTTTTGTCAATGGGCTTTAATATCGTCTTACCATAGATACTGTTCAAAAGAAGTTTGATGATCTCTTGTATCGGATTACCTTCCTTCTTATACTTAGCACGTAATTCGAAGAGCTTCTTAACTTCATTCCTTATTGTCATGTCCCTTTTTCCATCATAATAGTATCCATCAATGACTTTGCATGAGATCTCTTGGAACTTGATCAGATCTTGAAGCGTAATGTGGTCTACGAACATCTTGCAGCATGTATTGGAACTTCTGGCAACATGTAAGTCAGGGTTGATGTCAGGATTGACGACAATCAATGGGAATGCTGAGTTCTTACCGATCGACAAGATCTCGATCTGACAGTAAAATCCTGAGATGAACTTTTCCTTTGTTGGTTCAGCTTGGTCATCATCAAAGAGATGCTCCAACAAGTATTCACTGCTCTTCATCTCTTCTGTCATAACTTTTGGAATTCCTTCTAAACAGTAAAGTCTAGCAATTGCTGATGGATACAATGATACAGCATCGAAGTCAGTGATGAGTTCTCCTTCATTGTATTGCTTCTTGTTCTCAGCTAGCATGCATCTTCCTCCTTGAATACACTTGGAAATATATTCACGAGGTTTTCCTGCAAGATCAAAGAGATTACCGTTCTTCCAATATACTCTCTTCTCAAAGAGTTTGTTTGAGATAGAACTTATTGAAACATAATCATAAGCATCTATTTCAAACTCAGTCATGAGGTCATTGCGGAACTTAAGAAAGCCATCTCGTAAAATGCGTACATCTTGACCGCAATAGAATGACGAATAAACTTCCATGTCAAAGTGTTCATCATCAATCTTGCAATCTTCAATCTTCTCAATGTTCTCATTAAAAGCTTCAATATCTTTGACATGATTCATGGCATCATCGATGTTACCAACTTTAGTTGTATTAACTAACTCTTCCGTGTAGTAATTATATGGGAAAACTTCTTTTTCACCACTAGTGAGGTGAAACATTTCAGGGAATCTTTCCAACTTAGTTGAGATGATTGCATAAGAGTCTTTGAAGCAGAGAAGTTTTCCTTTGTACTTTCCTTGTATCTGCATCGTTTGTGAACCTTTGATGATTGGAGTTCCTGTAATCTCTTCTAACTGAGACATGAGAAAAGTGACATCGTACGATAAGTTGTGGAAATAAACTAAACTCTTATCTGGTAAAGCTTCGAGGAATTTTGACGCACAGTCACTTCCCCAAATTGATGTATAACCATCATCGTCATCTTCCATGAAACAAATGTTGTATGCTTTGTGAATGTTTCCATCAGTTGATGCTTCGAAGTCAGCAAAGAAAACATGTTCTCTTGGGAACTTCATGTCTTTCTTCGTCTCTGAACTCCAATCTTTCTTCATCCTTGCGCAATAACGCTCATTGTATGTGAGGTCAATCATTTCTTCAAGGTTCTCATTATACATCGTTGTGAAGTATGTGCAAAGTTCTCCTGTTCTAATTGGTTCGAAATAATTGTTAGCAAACAAGAGTTCAATGACTTTTGCAAGTGGTGTAACTAACTTTGAGTTAATTGCATACCTTGTTTCATATCTTCTGTTAACTAACATCTTCTTCTCTAAAGTCCAATCCTTGCACAACTTACAAACATCTTCATAGTTCTTGATGAACATTGAACTTATTGGAAGCTTTTCGTTCAACATGTAGTGGTCATACATTAATAAAAGTTCTACTGTCATCTTTGGTTCTTCATCTGGTTCATAAGTATATGAATGATTTGAATACTTCTCGTTGTATTTGATGACATGGAACCTTATTCCTGTTTCTTTGGCAATAACCTTAATCTTTGACATTGGAAAATCTTTGACACGAATGATTTCCCTCATATGATTAATTGTTGCTTCGTCAACACCAGCTTGAATACAAGCGTAGATGAAACATGAATCTTTCATCATCTTCTTTGCTGTCTCTGCATTAAGTTCGTTGAAGATCTGATACCTCTCTAAGTTAATAGGTAATTTGCATGTCCATGTCCAAAGCTGACCATTACGTGACCTGTTTCTCTTCTTTGAATGGTTTTGTTTGATGATCTTGAGTGCGATCTTTTCTTGACCTGCTGCTCTCATCGTATCTAACATAACTTGTTCTTCAGCTGTGAGTTTATATGGTGTGTACGTTCCTTTTCTCAAAGCAGAAGCATCAACATCTGAATAAGCTGTATAGTCAAAGATCTCGATCTTCCTTAACGAAGGAATACTACAAAGGAAGAAGTCATAGTTTGATTCAAGGACTTTAGATGCTAATTCTTGTACTTCTGCTATTGGAGCTTCATTAAGTAACTGATGAACTAATGATCCCATTGTATTGATGTTCAAATGACGCAAAATGTTTCTCTTCTCATCAAAGTCGTAATAGAATGTCCACTTCTGTTTGAAAAGGTCTATCTGTCCAATGAACTTTGCCATAACTCTTGGAAACATCTTGTTGAAGTAATCTTTTCCTCTTGGACTGTATTGGTCAATGTTAAACATAATGAATCTTTCTCCTGCTTTAGTTATTGGGTCTAACCATTTCTCATCAGGAAGTTTTTGACCATTAATGTTCTTAACAACGTAAAAGGCATTCTGTATTTCTTTGTATGCTAATTCGCTCTCATCAATCTTTGGTGGAGGGTCTGAGTATATTGGTTGCATCTCCATTAACGCTCTATTATGAGATCTCTGATCGTGATCTAAAGCAACTGGGGAATTTGAAGCTGGAACATTCATGATACCATTGTAGTCATCATAGAAGCTCTTAGCATTCTTGAAAATATCTGCTACACTTCCTGTACCTCCTTGATTCTTAATTGCCAGAGCTAATTTATTGGTAATGTCTTTAGCTTTCTTAGGCATTTTGATCCCAAACATATCAAGCATACCTTTCTTATCTTCTGGTGAAAGGTTATTAACTAATCCTTTTATAGCATTGAGCATGTTGGTCTTTTATAACCGATAAAAAAATATACGTTTTTTTTAATCGTCATCGTAATCATAATCGTACGAAGATTCTGTATCATCATCACTGACATCATTGGTTTCTCTAACTTCTGGCTTATCTGGTTTAATCTCTATCACCATAAACATTGGTGACAATAATCGAACAGGCTGATCTTGGAAGTCAACTAAGGTAAACGTAACATTAGTTAGTTCCCATGGAAATGCATCTATCCATGGTGAGGATTCCTTACATATAAGTGGTTTACCAGATATCCAGAACTCATTGATGTTATAACATGTAGATCTGTACATGATCTTTCTTCGATCATCAACTTGGTCAATATTATTGAACCCAGAGATGACAGACATTGATGAACGAAGGTATAACTGATACCCGAAGTTGAGCATAGGTGGTTTTGGCATTTGTAGATAATAATTATGTACAATAGGTAGTTCTATTCCATATGCACCTAAAATAAGATTTGCTCTATGTGAAGCATCTTTTAAATAGACTTTATGTCCTTTGTCCTGTGACGTAAATATAAGTTGATTCGTAGCACTCAGTGAAACTGTTACATTATGTTGACCTTTTTTCTTGTTATAATAATCAAACTGTTTTGTTACAATCTCTTGTAGTTTTGATACAATAGTATCCATATCAAATGAAAGAGCTGACTTAAATGTACACACCTTTTCTTCTCCATCTTCGTCTAACTGTAAGACAAAATAATCTGTTTCGTCACAAACAATAAAGTTCGCCATAGTACTGACACTTTTTACTCTCATCTTTATCTTACTTGGATGCCCCATGTTAGGATCTGCTTGAAACTGTATTGTCCCGTAGTTATTAGGATCAGTCGATTGTAGATAATACATCATTTTTATATGTAGTAAAAGAATGAGTGTTGTTCCATATGCATATGAATGTTATAAGTCTAGCGTACTTCAATATAAAGAATATACTCTCAGAATTACTGATAATGCTTTAGTCATACATAAAGAAGGTGCTGATGAAGACATTACCATCGGTCCTGGTATATTACCTATCGAGCAACCAGATGGTACAATTGTTGAAACAGACTTAAATCAATACCTTCAAGCGTTACAGAATCGTGTGACAAAAGTAGAGAATAATTACTTAGATGCTCCATTCTTCACAACTGATAGAGATTATATGTTTTCATGTATGGCGAGTAATGGTTTGCAAGAAACTCGTGAGGTAAATATTAATGAAGCATTAGAGACTATAATATATCATGTTAAACGGTTATTATCGATTGACCATGGAGTTCATTTTGACCCAAGGTCTACACTGTTCAATATACCAATGATTGAAAACAGTCAATTAACATTTAAAGAAGATACATTGTATAATGCTTTAAACGCAGCATTTGCTTATATATTAGGTCATGAACAAGTACAAAATAGTGGTATTGCAATATACTTAGATAAAGTTATGTTAAAGAAACCATTGACATTCACAGAAGATGGTCCAAAAGCAACTGGTATTGTTGGTGATGGAACATTATTGACGAAAGAATACTTAGCAAGTCATGTCGGAGAATTTTTCTCCACTAATGATAGCATCAGTACAACACCAGAAGTTATTTTATTGAAGAAACCAATCACATTTGATGTTAAAGGAAAGACAAAAGCAACTGGTATAGCTGGCGATGGAGTTCTTCTGACTAAGGAATACTTGAAGAAAAATATCAATGACTTCGTTGAAATTGTCAAAGATAAAGAATCTGGTCTTAAGTTCAACCCTTTATCATTCATCTTTGCCATAGCAAACGCCGGTGCTACTGCAGCCTCATGGATATCACTCCAGAGTCAAATAAATGCTCTTTGGGCTTTTGTTGAAAGTCAAGAAGGTATAGATACTGTTCTTGACACTCTGGGTAATCTTGGTCCAAATCATAAAGGAGGTTTTGTGGATGGAATAAAAAATTTAGTTGAAAAGACTAAAACAAGTTTCCAGAAGATAACTCATATAGAAAGATTCAGAAATGAAGGTTATATGGAACTTGAGAGTTTTGATGTGACTGGACCTTTGGAACCAATTCCAATGCCACGTGATGCTAATGATGAAGAAGAGAAAGATCCTGGACCAAAAACAATCATTTCTACGTTAAGTACTTTGTACCCTGATTTTGTGACCTTAGTGAAAGTTGCTAATACATCAAGAAAGAACAATAATATTAATATGTCTGGTACTGATGACCTTACTGATTATCTTTATCTCATTCTTGCTGAATTAGCGAAGAAAGTTGAGGAGAACAAAAATAATGGAGGAAGAACTGCACTTAAGATTGCAGACAAAGCTGACAAAAGTTATGTTGACGAAGAGATACGTAAAGTTGCATCTAAAGAATATACTTTATCACAGTCTGTCATACTTAAGACAATCAAAGGTCCAGAGAAAGATATGTACCCAGGTGATGGTACAACAGTTAAAGTTAATGAAAGAGTTTCATTCCCATCTGGTATTGATGCAAAAGAAGTATATATTAATGGTGAAAACATCAATACAACATTGATTCCTTTGAAAAATAATGAGTTCACTGAACCTTTGACAGTTAAATCAATTCGTTCAAGAGAAGACAAACCTGTTATAATCAATAAAATAGGAGCTGATAATGACCAACCAGTTCAAATCAAGAAAATAAGAGCTGATGACATTATCTTGAACTATACTTTAGGTTCAAGTGCACCTTTAGAGAATCCAAGCACTAGTGTAAGAGATACACTTAATAGTTTAGATAGTAAATGTACGAACATTGAAGGTCATGTCAGAAACTTTGAAACACATGAGCTACCAACAATGTTAGATAAGAAAGCTGACAAAACTTATGTGGATGCAGAACTAACAAAGAAATTTTGGAAACCAGATAAAATGACATTTACAACAGAAATTATAAATGGTGAACCAGCAACTCCATTTGAATTTGTTAGAGGTCTTCAACCAGATACTTTTGAATTTTTCTTGGATAATTCTATTGAACTAACATTACATTATAAAAGTGGAACAAATGCAACATTTCATCCGGGAGATACATTCAAATGGTATTTAATGACATAAGTTCTTTAGAATATGTTTATAGAGCTATGAGCATATATGATTTAATATATCCTATAGGAGCTGTTTATACGTCTATGAATCCAATAAATCCAAACACTTTATTTGGTGGTAGATGGTATGAAATAGTTGACAGTTTTCCATTCTACACTAATACGCAGTCAATGAAGATGGGAGGTTCAAAGAAAATAGGTATTGAAAACCTTCCTTCACATATGCATAGGTTCAGTGGAAGAACATCTGTGGAAGGAAACCATTCACATTCAATGACAAAAAGAGGTTATACAAATCTTGCAGCAGGTTCGGATAGACAGGGAATGCATAGATATGATATTTCAAGTGACCCAGTAGATTCAAGCACAGGTATTTTCTGTGGAACTGCAGGAAATCATACACATGTTGTAGCTGGCATTACAGACCCAGCAGGTAATGGAAAAGATTATATGCCTCCTTATATAACAATGCACGCTTGGATACGAGTTGGTTAACTCAAGATCACGATCACAAACTGTTTCTCAGTATGAATGAGTAGCTCTATTTTTACATCATTACTGAAGTATTTCTTTTCTTCATCAATGACAGAAAGAATGTTTTCATCATCTTTTAAAGATCTTACCAAAGTTAGATCTTCATCAGAAAATCTCAAAGAAAGACTCATTTATGCACTAATAAAAATATAGCTAATTATTTTTTTATCTGAACTTTTTATCGGGTATATAAAGATGTCTGAACATCATATAAAGTTCTTTAAGATCCAACAGTTTGTAGATGAAGTGAAGAAGCAAAATAAAACAGCAAAGAGACTACTTATATGCTTACCACAAACATTATGTCAAGGAAAGTATGGTTATAGTGCAAGTCCGATCATGATCTTTGTCGATAAGCAGAAATACACAAATGAAGGTTTAGCTAATTTACTCAAGTTTGAAAAGATAGCTATAAACATTCCTGACCATTTCTCAGCGAGAATAAACCTTGACAAGACTAAAAGTTATTGTTTATATGTAGATCTCACGAAATCAACAAAGAGTAAAGACAAAGAATATAACCCAGTTGAACTTAAGACAATGGGTAAGAACTTACTCAAAGCTGCTATCAAACCTGTCGAAGAGATCGACATTGAGGATGAAGCAGAAGAAATAGATGTAGATCCTGAAGTGTTATAAACGATAAAGTTTATTTTTGGAGGAAGATGGTGTCAGACCATTTGATCTGGCATGCTTGTTCTAGGTAATTGCAGAAACCTGGAAAGATTGTTATTGGTCTGAGTTTCATACTGGTCTCTCATCTCTCCATTGAAGCAAGTAAATTTACATGAAGAGTTCGTCTGGATTCTCAGGCTTTGGTACACACTGATCGAAGATCTGTATGACCTCTTCATGACCGTACTCCCTCTGGTCAGACATGAGTGTTCTGAAGAACTTTTGCATCTTCGGACCAGGTTTAGCATCTATGCAACGAGTGGGTCTCATTGACATTTTTGTCACTTTTATTTGGTCGAATGGAAGGATTCGAGTTCATGCCACTTGACAGCAAAGAAGGTGCAGAAGAGGTTGTTGTTGCTGCATTCTATGCGAGCTCACACGTTGACGCATTCCGAACTTACCAGGATGACCTCGAAAAAGAAGGTCGAAAGCTTGGAAAGATCCAAATGTTGCTTGAGTTCTTCCGTGGAAACCTTGCACAGAAGTATGAGAAGAAAGAATAAACAACTAATTATTACTGAGCTTAGCTCATAAATGTAAGTTTTTACTCTGATCAGATCTTAGATCTCGTCGGGACAAGCGGAAAGGATAAAGTCCATGAGCTGGACTTTTGTCTTAGTGAGCGGTACTGCGGTCATGAGTAGTTCGCGCTTGTTTGAGCCACTTGGAACGCGACCCTTCCAATTCCTCATAGATCTCAAGGCAGAGATCGTGAAGAACTCAAGGACAAAGAGTCTTTGAGACTTGGTAAGGAATCCCTCATCATCTCTTTCATCCTGGAGGGTCTTTGTGGATGCAGTGGACTTGATCTCGTCTTCCTCGATCGGATCATTCTCATAATCTTCATCACCCTTCTTCCTAAACGTCATCTGCTCTCTCTTGTAGTCGTTCCTGAGAGCATTGAGTCCAGCTTCAAGATCTTGTGAGTTCTTTGCAGGTTTATTGAAAGTTTTCTTTTCCTGCATTTGCTGTATAAGCTGGGTTTGCTGTTGCATCATCTGCAACATCATTGCCATCATATCTAGTGTTGGTGATGCTGGAGCTGGTGTTGTACCATCTTGGGACATTCGGTCGTCGGTTATGTCTTTACAAAAGACTGCTTTACAAAAGACAGCTTTACAAAAGACAGCTTTACAAAAGACAGCTTTACAAAAGACAGCTTTACAAAAGACAGCTTTACAAAAGACAGCTTTACAAAAGACAGCTTTACAAAAGACAGCTTTACAAAAGACTGCTTTACAAAAGACAGCTTTACAAAAGACGTCTTGACAAAAGACAGCTTTACAAAAGACTGCTTTACAAAAGCATTTTCTCACAAAATTGAATACTTTTGCTTTACAAAAGACGTCTTGACAAAAGATTGCTTTACAAAAGTCTGCTTTACAAAAGACGTCTTGACAAAAGATTGCTTTACAAAAGTCTGCTTTACAAAAGATTGCTTTACAAAAGTCTGCTTTACAAAAGACAGCTTTACAAAAGATTGCTTTACAAAAGTCTGCTTTACAAAAGACAGCTTTACAAAAGATTGCTTTACAAAAGCCATGACTGATCTTCATCCAATTTGTTTAATCGAACTTAATGAAGTAATTTCTGCATATCTCCTGCATGTATTTGGAAACGAGAGGATAAGACAACTCACCAAGGTTTCCAGACGCCAGATCCAAAGACTTGAATCAACTGCAGGAGTAATCCTAAGCTTTGAAGAAGGATTAACCAATAAGAAAGATGTCATTGACTCCAAGCGTGAAAGCCTTGCTGCTTTCTTACGCAAACACCCATGGGTCGATGTTGATCTCCAATCTCCTTACCAAGGACTCGTTGAAACCTTCACGACCTACAGACAGCTCCTTGACAGACCTGAGCAGAACCTTCTGGTCGAACGTGATGGCACATTAAGCCCTACAGACGAGTCAATCCAGAGAGAAGAAGCTCAAGAGTAAAAATCTGACATTTATACTTTACATGACATTTTTTTCATGAGTGTTCACGTTAAGATCAATGATGAAAACATGACTCATGGGAAGATATCATTGATGACATAGAGAATGACCTTGATGAAAACATGATGGGAGCTCAAACGTCAGTTAAGGTCAAACTTGGTGAAGTTCAAGAAAAGATCTCCGAGATCAATGCAAAAATATCTGCTCTTACAGAGGTTGACGTTTATTACAGAAGCTTGGAGAGAACTTTAAGCAAACTTGAACGTCAGAACCAAAGTCTCATAGTTGTGCTCCAGAAACTCAGTCTCATGCGTAAAGCATATAATGACTACCTACATGTAAGAGACTTACCTTCTTATTCTACTCCAGATCTCGACTTTTCCGATATAAGTCCAATCCTTATTGATACAACACTTACGATAGCAGGGATGCTTCCTACATATCCAGAATATGATAACTTACCTCAGCTCTTCGAGTATCTCAAGAAAAAGTTCATGATCTTATTATGCGAGACCATGAAAAGACGTCAAAATACCAGAACAGAACGAGAACAGAGCTTACTAATAGACTTATTATATAATACTAAAGAAATAAAGGAGTTTTTATTCTAACTTTGGTATTTTTGGGAAGAACTGATCTGGATCATATTTGTCAACCACAGGTTTTGGTATCAAAAGTCTCTCTGGTTCTTGGACGTCTGGTACTGGAAATGGTTCCTTTGGTTTCCTAGCTTTTGGGAGATCTAAAAATTTTCTTGGTCTCTTTCTTTTGTGTAAGTGTTGTCCATTTTTATCGACAACGAATGTGAGCTTTCCGTCGTCAAAGATGAATGTCGTCGCTTCTTCAGTTCCCTCATCAACTATTATCTTCTTGATCTTTCTCTTCTCCATTAACAGAAAAAGTGACATATATTACTTCATTGTTTTTCTGGGTGTTAGGATTAATTAAACCTCTATCTATAACATGCTTTCTCATAGAAAACTTCTCTCCATATCTTTTTGTCAATATCTCTAAAAGTTCTTCTGTATAAGATTTATCACTACTGAAGTAAATAGATGGATAATTAAGGACATCAAAGGTTTCTACAGTATCTTTAAGAGTCCATTCATCTCCATACTGTATAGAATAAGTATGGAAGTATGGAGGATCACATATAAAGAAAACATTGGGAAGATCTTTATACTCATTGAAGAGTATTCTCCAATCTTTATGAACAATAGTTAAACCTTCAAGATAGTCATCTATGTTTTCACCAAATAAGTTAGTATATCTGAGGTATAACACTTTCTTCATTAATGTGTCAAGATCATAGTATTTGTATGCTCCAGAATAGAGAAGACGTGAACATAATGTATCCCAGTCTATGTATGGAGCTTTACTTATAACTTCTCTGACGATCTCTTTCTGATCAGTAGGAATTTTCTCATCTGGCTTAACATTTATTCTCTCCTTAAGTTCCTTAAGTATTTCATTCGTGTCATGAATGTGTTTCAGTCTATCAACGTAGTTATCATAGTCGTTAGCTATGATCGTTGCTTTTGGGAACATAATATGCAACAGATGAGAGATATAGAGAGAACCACCAAAGAGGTCAACGAAGACATAATCCCCTTTGATGTCTTTGAGTATGTCGATAAGAGCTTTCCTGATCTTCGACTTATTACCTATGAAAGGTAAAGGAGGTTTGGTAAAAATCATTTATATGGTAATAAAAATAAGTGTTTACTTGAGACAATAACCTCTGTTGAGTTTGTAGAACAAGATCAGAAGTACGATCAAGTTCAAAACAACACAAATGGCTAGGATTGCGTTACCAACAATCTTTGTCTTTTCCCAGCAAGACTTCTTCTTTGGTTCATGTGCTGCTTCGACATCACTGTATGGCTCGGACATTAACTTAAAAAGTGTCATGACCACTTCATTTTTGATGAAGTCAACAGCTTATGTCCACTTCCTCCCACAAGCACTTGAGGAACAAGAGAAGGTCATCATTGAATACCTTCAAGCCACTGAGAAGCTCCAAAAGCTTCAAGATCTCCGCGAAGAGTTCAAGTCCCGCTTGAAACAGGAGAACTTACTGCAGGAGTACATGCTCATCTTGTACCCATTACTAGATGGCTCCCATTTACCATCAGAGTACACTGCAGCTCTTGATGCACTCAAAGATCTTCGCGATCACCGTCCGATCGGTAAAGAAGCCTTCGAGCTCACCATTGAGCAAGCCATCCTCGCCAAGGACAATGCAAAGAAGCGGATGCTCGAAGCTCTTGATAAGATCAAGGAGTACGTCGAAACGTTCTAAAATAATTACTTGAGTAAACATAAGTTTTATTCATTGTTTATCTTTTCAAGATATTCTTTCATCTTGACGTTATATTTTCCTAACTCATACAATAACATACTTAAGACATAAATTATACCTACTTATTAACTCAGTATATTGTGCATTATATGCATACTTAAACTCTTGAGCAATATTGTTCTCATCAATGATTCTGATCTGAGCTATTTTTGAGAAAGGTGGTGGAATACCACAGCATGTGATGTCTGGGTCCAGTAGGTCTATTTCACACTTGAACCCAGTCATTCTGTGAACAACTTCTTCCAAGTCTGGCTTAGGTAGTAAGATCTGATCTTTGCTCACTAAGTTAGAAAAGAGCTCTTTGTCTTGGTCTAGAAGTATCTTCTGGTATATACTAAGTAAATACTCTTCTACACCAATCCTCGATGAAGTCTCCACAGATCTCGATGAGGTCAGGTTGGAAGTTAATGGACTTAAAGGAGGAGGATACATTGGTGCTTCTGAGTTCGTAGTTGTTTCCTCTTTTTTTATCTCTGTTGGAGCATCACTTACTGTACCAGATGGATAGTTCTTTATCACAATGTTATTAGTTGTTCTTGAATCAACATTGCTTGTTGGTTCAATTGGAAGATTAGCTGCACCATAAAGAATTGACTTCGATCTCATTTGTTATGAGTAAAAATTGTTTTATTCTCATATAAATGACGAACATTAACCCAGAGAACAACACAGAATATACTGCAACAGGAGTTGTTTACAATGATCTAGATCAGATCGTCCAACTCAAAGCCCCAAGAGGAAGGAATTTAATAAGACAACCTCCACCAAAGATATATGTTGATGATGGTAGTAATGGGTTCAACTTAGTGTATCATTACTCATATCCTCAATATGCAAAAATTGGGTCTACCCCAAACGTGACAAACCATTATATGAACCTTTATGATGAAGCAAGGTTTCATGCACCAACGAAGAAAGAACCTGATGCATCAAGATTACATGAATTCGCAGACCATGATGGTTATAGCGATTACTCAATGCCTGTAAGACTTTAACGTTAATAAAAAAATGACTGTTGGTAAACAAGAAAAAACTTTAATACAAGAGGATTTGATGCTACCAATATATTCAACTGATATGGGAGCTTATCAATTCGATACATTTGAGAATCCTGGTGGAACACCACCATATTTTCTTTTGTTCATCAATGTAAACAGTAGAAAAGGTTATGCGTTCCCAATGAGTGAAAAGAACTCAAACAATGTTCTAAGTGCAATGCAGAAGTTCATTTCACAAGCTACAGGTGAAATGAAGCCTACAATACTTACTAGTGATGAAGACCCAGCTTATACGACACAAAATGTTCGAGATCTGTTGGTCAGTCATAACATTGAGCACATGACGACACAGAAATACAATCATAACATACTAGGTATTATTAATAGGTTCTGTAGAACTATTAGAACTATGTTACATATGAAGTTAAACCTCAAAGAAGGTGATAAAACACCACCTTTCACTGCAGATACAATGAGACAAATTATTAATGACTACAACACTGAATATCATTCAAGCACACAACAAAAGCCTGATGATTTCACAGAAAAGGATAATGAGGAATATATAAAGAAGCAAAGATTGAAAGAAGAGTATGTCAGAAAAAATAACCTTTATAACTTAAGACCTGGTCAAAAAGTTCAAGTCATAGTTGAACCAAGAACATGGGGTAAAGGTAACCAACAAAGAAGACATCTTGATCCTTCTTATTATACAGTTGATTCAGTTGATACAAGTGCATACTTGTTAAGAGCAAAAGATGGAAGTGTTGCAAGATATCCACGTTATCAGATATGGACAAAAATAGAGCATGGATTAAAGCAAGGAGAAACTTTAGATCAAGGAAGACACGGTGCTGTTAAAAGTATTGATGGTCATGAACTTGTCGGTAATGATGTAAAGTATGATGTTACGTTTGAGAACGAAAATACAGGAAAAGTGACAGGTAGAGGTATGCGTGAAGGTAATCCAAACAGGTTGTCACAAATGGAAGTACAGTATTGGAGGAAAAATATTAATGAAGGTCATGTTAAAGATATGCCTAGTTTTCTTGAGAAGTATCGTGGGTTTCGAGTTTAGCTTGTAAGTCCTTTATTTTTGTTTCATACAATGAGATCTTCCTTCTGATCTGTTCATCATTGAGAGGTTGCTTGACTTTACGGAACTGTACACGTCCGTCTTTCATTGTATGTACATAATATCCATCAGGAACCTTACCATCTTTTATATATTCAGTTAACCACTTTTGTTTAGTTGATGCTTTAATGACTTGACTCATTTCTTACTGGATAAATTTTTATGTTTTTTATCTTTTGACGATTTTTTCTTATCCTTATCTTTCTTCTTGTCCTTGTCCTTCTTTGATTTATCCTTCTTCTTGTCCTTGTCCTTCTTGGACTTCTCTGCTGCAGGTGGTGTTGGATTCTGTTTGACTTTAGCACTTGGGTCAGGACCTTGTCTTTGAGACTTAGATATAGATTGTTTAGGAGCTGCTGCTTGTTTAGTTGCTTCAGCTTGTTGTTTAGCTAATTCAGCAGCTTGTTTATCATTCTCTTCTATTTCCTTTGCACCAGTTGCGACTTCATTCTTGAACTTTTGGAGATTCTCAGCAGCATCCATTACCTTATTCGCTCCTTTAAACAATCCATAAAATTTCTGCCATGGTGATACTGAAGGTATATTTCCACCAATTGCTGGAGGAACTGATGCTTCAGGAGTTGGAGATGGTGTTTTGTCTGAATTGAGATGCTTTTCTGCTTCAAGAACTTGTGTAGTATTTTTCTCCAGGTATGCTTTTGCAACCTCCTTAACTTCTGGACGTTCATTATTTACATCCTGTCTTGGTGTTGATGTTTCAGTAGCGTTTTCCTGAGTTACATTAACAACAGGTTGCTCAACTGCTGAAACATTAGCTGCTTCAGTAATGTTATGAGTAGTTGAAACATTTCCTGATATACCTTCTCCTGTTGGAACTCTTGGAGCAATTGTTGTGATGTTCGCCATTGCAGGAGTTGGAGTAGGAGTGTCATCAATCTTTCTGTCAGCTTTCGTCGTTTGCGTTGTAGTATTTGTTGTTTCATTACCATATTTTGATCTTAGTCTGGTAAGCTCTAACTTCATATGTTCTTCAGGATATGCATACTTATTATATTCACCCTTAATATTCTTTTTCCATTCATCGTATTTATCTTCTGCTGATTTCTTAATTGATGCTAGTCCGTTTACAGCCAATTCATCAGTACCGTTATCAGTAGTCTGGTTATATAAAAGATTAGCAGCTGATCTAATTGTGTAATCCGTAAGATTACCAAAACGCTCTATTGTACCTAATGTTGTGTTCTTCAGTTCCTTTCCAATTCCTTGTGCAGCATCTTTGACTAAATCAGCACCCCATGCACCAAATTGTCTCACAGGAGCCGCTATTGATGGTGAAGGAGATGGAGATGGCGATGGAGTTGGTGATGGTGAAGGAGATGGAGATGGTGAAGGAGATGGAGTTGGCGATGGTGTTGCTGCTTTCGCCTTTCTATCAGCTTCTTCCTTAGCCTTTCTATCTGCTTCTTCTTTCGCCTTTCTATCTGCTTCTTCCTTAGCCTTACGAGCTTTTTCTTTCTTCTTAAGCTCCTCTAGTTCTTTACGTTCAGCTTCTTCTTTCGCCTTTCGTTCAGCTTCTTCCTTAGCCTTACGAGCTTTTTCTTTCTTCTTAAGCTCCTCTAGTTCTTTACGTTCAGCTTCTTCTTTCGCCTTTCGTTCAGCTTCTTCCTTAGCCTTACGAGCTTTTTCTTCATAATATTTTGTATACTTATCATCAGCCCAATTACCAAGTGATTTGGCACCTGTTAGTATTCCATTTGCGGTTGATGTTGCTGTTCTTCCGAGCCATCCCCCTACCGCTGAAGCACCATTGCCAATAGCACTACCAGCATTTAAAATTCCACGACCAATCCATATCCCTGGTTTTGCCTTTGTATTAAGAGTAAGAAATTCTTCCTTCCTATCTTCAGGTGTAGGATTTGTAACAGTTCTTACAGTATCAACAACAGTGTCAACACTGGTTCCAATAGCACTACCAACAGCTGTTGCACCAGTTAGAATACCATGGGTAACTAAATCAGTAGCTCTTGAGACAACATTATCACTCGAGGCTTTCTCTGCTGGATAGTTTGATCCTTTGTAAGTTCCTGGACCACCTCTATTTGAAGCTTCTCCTTCAACTATTTTCTTCTCTTCTTGTGCTTGTTCTCTGGCAACACTCAATGCACGTTCTTGTCTTTGAATGTTGTCTTTCTTTAACATGTAACCACCAAGTGTCTGTGGTGGTGTGTTTTTATCTAGTGCAGCATCAATTGCAGCCTTTTCTTTTCGCTTTTCTTCGTCTAACCAATTTTGAATAGATTCTGCATCAGTTGGTTCAGCTGGAGTTGAGAGACAGTGTTGGAGACGGTGTTGGAGCTTTAGTTGGTGTTGGAGACGGTGTCGGAGCTTTAGTCGGAGTTGGAGATGGAGTAGGTGCTTTTGTAGGTGTCGGTGATGGAGTTGGAGATGGAGTTGGAGGTACTGTTGGTTCTGGAGTTGGTTCAACAGTCGGTGAAGGTGTTGGCGCCTTTGTGATTCTTGGAGTTGGCTCTGGTGTTCTAATAGGGGAAGCAGTTGGTGTATTAGCTCTTTTAAGAACCTGTGATCTTTCCGCTTGATTTGAATCAGATACTGGGTTAGTTGTACTAGGATGTGATACAGGAGTTATTTTTGGTGTAGGTGTTGGTTTATTTAATGTTATACCATGACTACTCGACATTGGTGGAGGACCTGCGTGAGCAGTTGGTGTCAGAGTTGGCGTTGGAGCTACTGTAGGAGTTGGCGTTGGAGCTACTGTTGGTTCAGGAGTGGGAGTTGGTGTTGGAGCTACTGTAGGAGTAGGTGTAGGAGTTGGTGTTGGAGTCGACATTTGTTTTAACCTCTCATTATACCAATTCTCCAAATAATAAGCCTCACCCATTAAGTTACTCTGTCTTTGTTTTATAGAAAATTCACCTAACAGTAATTCATCATGAATCATTTTCTGCAGCTTTGTCGTGTTTTCTACTTCCTTTATTAGAACGCTCGATGTATTCGCCAATCCTCTATATTCCTTAATCATCTTATCTAGTTTGTTCATATTTGGTACTTCCTTTTTCTTCTCAGCGTTAATCTCATTAGATCGTTTCTCCAATTCTTCAACTACTTTGTAAAGCTTATTTATCTTGACATGTGATTCCTTTACTTCTCCAGTCCTTGGATCCTTAGGTTCCTTGTATTTAGCTAATTTCGTCTCTATATATCTTCGTTTAGCGTCATATCCAGGATCACTGGTTCGTAAAGGATGCGAAGGTGGACGAAAATAAGGTATGTAGAAATCTGGATCATCATTAATAGAAGAACGTGCTTTAAAGTTACGAACCGCGTCTGTAAAAGGGTCTCTACCACGTGCTGTATATGTTGATGTAATCAAAAAGCCTTCTCTTCTCATTGGGAAATTAATACGACCTTTTTGAACATATTCTTTCTCAAAGTATTGCCTAGCATTGTAATCAAAAGCAAGATCATTATATATATCGCGCAAAAAATCAAATGTATGCTGCTTGAACTTTTGATCGCTAATTATGGTACGAATTATCGGACGTTCATTCTCCCATTTCTTAACTCGTTCATCAATGAGTTTCCTCTCTTGTTCACTCATTTAAACCTCATAAAAATATATTATCTGCGTATAGTGCCACTAATAGCATTAATCCATGGCATGTCTGATAGTACACGTACTGACTGAACTAATGGCTTATGATTGTTCCAAATAGCTCCTCCAATGTATGCGTTATACTTATTGTTGTCAATAGTTTGTTGAGGTTGAACTATAGGTGTTTCAACAGGCTTGTCTCTACTGAAGTCACCACCAAGAGCTTTATTGAATGCTTTAAGATTCTTCGTTAATGCATTATCTTCACCTAATGTAGTTTTTGCAATTCTTTCACCAAGACTACCGATAACACCACCGACTTGACCAACTTGAGGGAAAAGTTTGTTAGCAATGTTAAATCCAGCACCTATTACAAGACCAGGATTTTTTTTCACCATACCCCATCCAGCTTTAACATAATCGCCAAAACCCATTTATTTCTTCTTAAAATAATGTCATCTTTTGTTGCTTAACTTCTTTAAAGTCCGTCTTTCCTGCAACTATATGAACTTCCATATATGAACGAGGTGTTGGTAGCTCTTTGTATTTGTTCCATAACTCTTCCCAATCTTCTGTTGCTCCTGACTGTTCAATCATTGACTGAAAGTCTCTCATAGAATAACCTTGAAAGATAACGAAGTCAGTGCATAGTCTCTTAATGTTTAAACATATATGTCTCCATGTTTGACACATGATGACAACAGTATAGTTATAATGTCTGACCTTAGTGATGAAGTTCGCTAATGGTGAACGTGGGTCATTCAATAAGTCATGACCACCATAATCGTCTAACACTAATAGAGAATTACTGGGATACTTTGTGAAAGGATATTTGTTCAACTTCTTTACAACATATATTGCAATCTTCTTATACTCAAACTTTCCATCAGGTTTCCTTAGTTGATGCTTTGTTAAGATGTGTTCCATCTCCTCTGAAATTTTTTCGAACTTACTTTGAACGAACTCAACAATAGCGTAATACTTTGCTTTCATCTTAACGTTCTTCATTAAATAAGGCATAAGTTCTTTATCATCCTTTTTCAGTACTGGTGCTTTAACTTGACTCATAAATGTCTTCGCTGTTTTATCCATTGTTCCTGATGTTGCTGAGATAACTATTGAGTCATAATATGGAGTATTAGTGAAGCGGTCTGTTATCATTATATGACGAATAACACCATATGTCTTACCTGAACCCATCTTACCGCAGTAGAAATAAACACCATTAGTACAAAATGGATAATCATCAGAAAATGGCATAATGAGTGCATTGTTTAGTTCTTTACTATTCTTACGTGCTCCATCATGAAGAATCTTATCTACTTGATTAATAACTTTCTCCATCTTTTAGTTACATATAAAATGTCTAAATATGATGGATTATACTATGAACATGTTATGAATGATGGCACGATAAGTGGTAATACAGTCTCATATAAATTACCGAGAGACTTCATTGAATATCCTGCGTCAAAAGCTCTTGAGATAAGAAAGATAAGTCTTGAGCATCCAGACTTTGAGTTTCTTGCTATTCCATTAGAAATGACAGATTCATCAAAATCAGTGAAAAAAAGGTTTGACATGAGATATTACATAAAACCCAACATGACTACACAGGAGTTGAATGAAGGTCTTATGGAAAAAATGACTGAGGCAAGTAGAGAATTTGTTGATTGTTACTATGATTCAAATGAAAATAAATTGAATGTATTAAGAAAAGGTACATCACCAATCATAACATTACCTTCATACAGTAGTATAGAAAAAAATGCCTTGAATTATAAATATGACATGTCCCTAGGAGATGTGTTGGATTTCATCACTGCGTTATTAGAAACCACTGAAACAGACACAACATCAAGAAAACCAGAGCTTGTTTGGGAAGATGACCATGGTAGAACATTCACGCAAAAAGTAATTCCATCGAAAGCAAAATTTTTAGACTTATGGGAAAAAAAATATATCTCGCGAATGCATGTATATTATAGTTTTACCATAGCAGATTTCACTGACGAAAATGATAAAGATAAAAAAACATATAAGTACTTTGATGAGCTTTTCATAACTATAGCGAATATCAGGTTTATCCTTGAGCGAAAGGGCAAACCAACATATAAATTTGTCGGTTATCAGATAAGAATAAATCCTCTCCTTGAGCCTTTAGTAACGTTGAGTAATATTGCTCATGATAACAAACAATTTATATGTAATGTGAATGAACAGCTTGTGCCACCAAAATTTTACGATATCACTGGTTATAAAGATGCACTCGTGTTTGAGTTTTATAAGCGCTTTTCATTCAAAAGAGTTGAAGAATCAACTGATGGTCAAAAAAAGGAATATTATGTAAAAGAACCATATGAAATTCCTAAAGACTCTAATATAATGGTTGAACTTATATTAGAGTCTGGTACTCAATCTCAACATAAATAGTTTACGTGACAGAATTTTTTTGACACGTAAAGTTTACATTTTAATGGAAGCGAACAACAAAGCTCCTGCTAGTGAATAAAGGTTAGTTTACATATGAACGTTTATTTTTACACATATATGCGTACATATGCGCGCCCGTATGGTGTCAGTTTTCTGTCACTTTTTTCATTGTGTCGGTGACTGTAGCTGTAGGCTACAGGCGACGCACAATGTATACTGTACTATTACACGCATTCATAGCCATGCATTATACTGTCTAATCCATTTCTACATTCATATACACTTAAATTTGCAAATTCAATTTGGATTCTAGAAAATACAGGGGAGTCTCAGAATTTGAGTATCCAATGACATTCAATTGGAAATAAAATTAGCTGTAGTGTAATTATCAAATTTAATTAAATGAATCAAATGGAAATTCTGCTCACAATCCATTTATTGCTACAACATGATCAAGATAGTTTTCGTTTGTATTTCAAGTTGCTGTGAAAAAAGATCCGGAGTTACTTTTTCCTGACCTTTGGAAACAAAATTATCTGACTCGTTATTCAAAGGTTCAAAAAAGTGACGATGTGATGTAAGAAACAAAGTCAATGGAAGATTTACAACCGCCAATTGTTTATTTTTCTCATGTAAATATTATTCCTTTATATATTTCTTATAAGAAAGTTTTTCTTAGAAAAAAAAATTATTATAAATGGATTGCACCTCTATCCAAGACCTTGGACAGAGGATTCCGCAATACCTAATCCATTTCAGTGACTTTAATATCCTCAAAACTATCGGTAGAGGTGGTTTTGGTGAAGTTTATATGGCAGAACATCGCGGAACAGGAATTATTTGTGCTCTTAAGAAACTGACAGTCAATGAACAAGAATTTCTCGAATCACATCAGAAATATTTCATTCGCGAAGTCTATATTCTTTCAAAAACTCAACATCCGTTTCTTCTCCAGTTATTAGGCTTTTCTGTTGAGTTTCCATACTGCATTGCCACGGAATTCATCAATAATGGATCTCTTTATGACGCTTTGCATCATAAAAGAGGCTGTCCAAACTTATCTGGAACAAATTTAACGATTATTGCGCTTGTTAGTGCTATGGCTCTACAAAGTCTGCACAAGAAGAACATCATGCACAGAGATATCAAGACGTTAAACGTTCTTCTAGACGACAAATGTTTACCTCATATTTGTGATTTCGGTATCTCAAGAGAGGACAATGCTGAAGAAATAGAAGAAGCTAGTTTAGTTACAGGCGATATCGGTACACCTAACTGGATGGCTCCAGAGCTTTTCGGACAGACACATTACGATAATCGTGTTGATATTTACGCTTTCGGTATTATGTTATGGGAAATGCTTACAGGAGAAGTTCCTTATGCCGGCAAACAACCATTCGTCATCATGCAACTCGTTACAAGTAGTGTTCGTCCAAAGATTCCACCAAATACACCTCGTCCTCTTGCTACGCTCATTTCTACATGCTGGGCACAAGATCCAAATGATCGTGTTGACTTCGGCAAGATCGCAAAAGCCTTTGAAAAGCACAAAGTCGAGTATCCAGGAACAAATCCAGAAGAAGTCGATAAATTCATAAAAGACTGGAAAGCAGGCGTATACCAGAACACCCAGATACTCGGCCAACCACAACAAAGGCCTCAACAGAAGGTTCCTCAAGCAAAACCAGCAGATGGCTTATCTCAGCTGCTTACTAACCCATTTGACCCTAATTTCGAGTTCGCCGCCATCCAGGCCATACAGCAGGGAGCTCTTCCAACGTTTATTCAGCTTTTACAACTCGTATTTACCGCATTCCAACAAATTCAACCCGAAATTACCTCTCGATTACTCAAAGCTTTAGCACAGCTATTCACAACTAATGTTCGCTGCGCAGAAATCTTCATACAAGCTACAGCTTTCGTAAATCTTCCATATACAATTCCTGGAGCGGCCGAAGCATGCAACGAGCTTGTAGAAGCCCTTTTCCAGCACGACCAATCCAAGATTACCCATCAATTACTCGAATTCGCTTTGGGATTATGCCAAAGTTACCCAACAACAAGTTTGAACTGCCTTGCGAACTATATTAGTAATCCCAATGCACAATTTGCCGAAGAAATGGTCAGATACATGATCTTTTACGCTGATTATTTCAAGAAAGCCGAAAATGCGGATTTATACATCGATACCTTATTCTTTTACGCCTCTACAGTTCCTAACTACCCATATCTACAGAACATTGGCCAAGCCTTTGTCTCATTCCTTTCATCCGGATCCGAAAAAGCCATAGAAACAGCTTACAGAGCTCTAACTGAAATGCCAATCCCAGGAGTCTCAGTTCCAGCCGATACATTGATCGCCCACATGAGATTCCCTTCTTTGGTCCTTCCAGCCTTACTTTACATCACGACTATGCCAGACTCTCTCAAAATTTCACATAACCTTATTTCTTCTATCGTCGAACATGCACAACAAGAACCATTAGCTGTTTATGTTTTGTGCCTGTTTGCCGAGCGCGAAGACACTGCTAGAGAGTTAATTTCAGCATGGGACAAATGGCTGAACACTCCGATGATCGCTGTTGCAGATTCAATGCGAATTTTCTTGTCTTGCATGTGCAATTTGTCCGTAAGACAGAATTTGCTGTCGATCACGAGTTTGGCACTTTTCTTTAAGATCGTGATCGAATCTAATGACAGCGAGTTGTTGGAAATGATACAGCCAACACTGAGAAAACTTGATGTCGGTGATGATTTCTGCAACCAATGCAAATCTACTTCGTTTTTGAAGGTTTTGCTGCAGAATTCACTGCAACAAGGTTCTTGGCCGATGTTGATAACAGGACTGCAGCTCGTGGAGATGCTGGCAAGAAAGTTCTTCCTCCCTGATTACTTGGAATACGTTCCTTACGCATTGAACGTGATTCAGCAGGGAGGAGGAGTTCAGAACACGAGTATTTGCGTTTCTTTGATTTTCTCTATTACTGGTTTCCCTGAATCACACGAAACTATGAAGACTTTCGGACTGAAAGAGACCCTGAACCAGAATTACTTGAGCGCTGATTTAATGCAATACGCAAATGCAATATTCCAACGACTAGGAATTTAAAATAATAAAAAAAGTAATTTGATTATTTTTTTTAACTCATTCGATTTTTAATGTTGCAAATTACCCCTATAAGGACTTAAATTCAGGTCCATATGAAATAGTCTTAAATTCAGGTCCATATGGAATAGATTTTAATTCAGGTCCATATGGAATGAACTTCAAATTCAGGTCCATATGGAATAGATTTTAATTCAGGCCAGTTGTCAGAAAATTGAATGAATGACATATGGTTGAAATTGGACAAATGCTTTTTTATTACGTTTTTGTTTCTATTGGCATGTAAAGTGTCATTAATGCAATAATTATTTAATTAAGGACGTGCCGATAAACTTTCTGCTGTTAATGCAAATTTTTGACTTCTGACATGAACCATCATTGAAAATTAACCTTAAATAACATATTATTCTCAATTTTTTTTCTCAAACGGTTGTTTTTTTTTCTCCCACTTAGTTCAGCTCAATTTTTGTCGATCTTTTTAATGATGTCCTTGGCATGACTTGTTAAAGAAATATTTTGTCATTTAAATGCATTATAATCAATCCCATAATGCTTATTAATATTAGATTGTAACAGATTAATCAAAACTATAACATTTTTTGCACCCCATGTAAAACCAGTGTTTTCAAAATATTAATTTTTATTAGTAAGTTAATTTCATAGTTTTATTTCGAATTATATCAAGCAGATTGATTTAATCCTTGGCACCATGATAAACGAAGAATCGAACAATATCAGTCAATTTCGCTTTGGTAGCAATAGAGAGGGGACATTCATTAGTATCTAAATAATTTGATAAAACATTGATAAATATGAAAAGAAAGATAATTGTCTAAAACAATGATAGATATAAATAGAAGCAGAATTACACAAAAAGAAAAAGAATAGCATTGAACAATGATAGATTTGATAATAAAGTGAATTATCGTCTAAGGTAATGATAGATATGAAGTTAAAGAGAATTTTATTAAGCAATAATATATATGAAATGATAAAGAATATCAATATGAAATGATAAATTTGAGTAAAAATAGTATTTCATAAATGAATGATGAATATAAAAAATAAAGAGAATTAAATATAACAATGATAGAAATGAAAAAAAATTGGATGTCATGAAAAAGAATGAGAATTTCATCAAACAATGATGGATATGAGAAGAATGATAACTGTTTAAGACAATGATTGATATAAATTGAAACGGAATTATATAAAAGAATGATTGACATAGAAAGAAAGAGGATTGCATAAAACAAAGATAGATATGAAAATAAATAGAATATTATAATTGAATGATAGATGTTGAAAGAAATAGAATTAAATAAGACAATGATCAATGTAAAGTGAAAAAAAATCCAATGAAATATAGATAGGTCTCATATAAAAATGATAAACATGAAACGAAAGAAGATTCCATAATAGAATAATGAACATGCATTAAAGAAGAATTTTATCAAACAATGAAAAACATAAAAAGAAAGATTATGTAATAAAATTATGATCAATATAAAATTAAAGAGAATTTTATAATGCAATGATTGACATGGAATGCAAAAGAATTTCATTTAACATTGAATAACGTGAAAAGAATGAGAATTATCTAAAGGATTGATAGATATTTAATAAAAGAAAATTTCCTAAACCAATGAATAACATAAAAAGAAAGAGATCTCTATAAGCCAATAAAAGATATAGAAATAGAAAGAATGTAATGAAACAATGTTTGACATAAAATGTAAGAGAATTCTATTTAAAAATGATAAATATGAAAAGAAAGAGAATCCAATAAAAGAATAATAGACATGGGAAGAAAAAGAATTAAATATAACAATGATAAATATATAAATAAAGCGAATATAATTTAACATTGATAAATATGAAATGAAAGATAATCCAATAAAAGAATGATAGATTTGAGAACAAAATGAATTCGATAAAATGAAAGAGAATACGATAAAATAATGATAAATATTAAAAGAAATAGAAAAAGATTCATTTTGATATCTGCACCATGTTCAACTAGGAATTTGACAGTGTCGATAGAGTTCTTTTTGATTGCCAGACTAAGAGGACATTCATAATTATCAAAAGAATCCAATAAAACAAAGAATGATATGAAAAGAAGCATAATTCCATAAAACTTTGATAAATATGCAAAGAAATAGAATTACATCATAAAATGGAAGACTTGAGAAGAATAAGAATGCCATAAAACAATGATGTATTTGAGAATAAAGAGAATTATCTAAAACAACAATTGATATGAAAATAAACAAAATTATCTAAAGTAATAAAAGATATGAAATGAAAGTGAACTTTAAAATAGAATGATAAACACATGAAAAAAGTGAACGTTATAAAAGAATGATAGACATGGAAGGAAAGATAATATACTTTAATAATAATAAATATGAAAAGAAAGATAATTCCATAAAGTAATGATAAAAACAAATATAAATAGGATGCGATAAAATAACAATTGATATGAAAATAAAAAGAATTATGTGAAGCAAAGATTGATATGGAAAGTAATAGAATTACGTAAAATAATGTGAGATATGAAAAGATAGAGAATTAAATAAAAATATAATAGACATTTAATGATGCAAAATCCTATTTAACAATGATTGAAATGATTTGAAGTCGAATTTTTTGAATGAATGATAGACATGATATGAAGTTGAATTCCATTGAAAAATGATATATTTGAGGAGATGCAAAATATTATTAAACGATGAAAGACATTATATGAAGTTGAATTCCATGAAAAAATTGTAAATGTAAAAAGAAATGAAATTCTAAAAAAGAATGATGAATATGAAAAGAAAGCTAATCCAATAAAATAATAATGAATATGAAAAGAAAAAGAACCATCTTAAATAATGAAAGATACTAAAAGAAAGAGAATTACCTGAAACAATGATAGATATGAATAGAAGATACATTAAATATAAGAATGAAAGATGTGAAAATAAAGTGAATATTATGAAACAATGATAGATTTGAAAAGAAAAAAGAATTACATAAAACAAATATTAACGTAAAAAGAAAGAGGATTCTATAAAAATAAAGAGAATTGTATAAAAAAATGACGAACATGAAAGGAAGGATAATCCAATAAAAGAATGATAGATTTAAGAATAAAATGAATGCGATAAAATGAAATAGAACACGATGAAATAATGATAAATATTAAAAGAAATAGAATAAGTTTTATATTGACATCTGCTCCATGTTCAACTAAGAATTTAACAATATCAATTGACAATTGTTTCAAGGCAATACCTAGTGGACAATCACTAATTTAAAATGATTTTCAAGAACCATTGATAGACATAAATTGAAATAGAATTTCATAAAACAATGTATGATATAAAGAGAATGATAACTCCATAATACAACGATTGGTGTGAATAGAAATAGAATTTCATGGAAGCATGATAAATATGAAAAGACAGAGAATTTCATAAAATTATTTATAATATGATAAGAATGTAAATTTCATTTAACAATGATAGATATGATAATAAAATGAACTCTATAAAATAACACTAAACATATAGAGCAAGGAGTGGGGGACAAACTCGCCCATTGTCACTTTTTCGTTAACCTTAAACTTGTAATTTTCATTATTTTTAATTAACCTTACTTCTTTCCCAATTCCTGATTTATTTTATTCACTTACTATTAAAAGTCACATTTTAATAAAATATAATAATTTATTTATAGCATTTTTTACTATACTGTAATAAAAAATTAATTATAATAAATTAAATGTTTATTAAATCAAATGTTTTCTTTGCAATAATATTTTTAATGTTGAGTAAACAATGTTGGGATCAAGTGTATCATTTTTCAGACCTTTCTGAACAGCTTCAAGCATACTGATGCATTCGACTTTTTTAAATTGTGTCATTTCTTCGAAATCTCTTGTGACTTTTTTGATAACTTTAACACTTCTCTCTGAATCCAGACCTTTAATTTGCAACTTAATCAGGAATGAAGGAACAACACTGGAATATAACTCGATGACAAGTTCATCGAGTCGAAGATTTGGTTGTACACCACTTGTATGTGCCGGATACCATTGTGTCAAATTTTTTCTGAAATTAACTTTAAAAGTACTAAGTAAGATCATGAGATATAGCAATATATGTTTAAACCAACTTATATTTTGGTTGTACACCACTTGTATGTGCCGGATACCATTGTGTCAAATTTTTTCTGAAATTAACTTTAAAAGTACTAAGTAAGATCATGAGATATAGCAATATATGTTTAAACCAACTTATATTTTGGTTGTACACCACTTGTATGTGCCGGATACCATTGTGTCAAATTTTTTCTGAAATTAACTTTAAAAGTACTAAGTAAGATCATTTATTTTTGCATAATATAATGCCAATATGGTTTCTTTTGATTTTATTTCATTTATAAGCAAATCAGATTTACCCAAAAACTCCACTCCATAAGCGTTCATTTGCTAAATTAAAAAGTGACAATGGGCTAGTCTGTCCCTTTCTCATAGAGCAAGAGAATCCAATTAAAAGATAATTGTTATGAGAAGAAAGAGAATTTGATAAAGCAATAAATGATATGAATATAAGGGCAATTTCATAAAACATTGTTAAATATGGAAAGATAGAGAAGAACTTTCATGTTAACATCTGCACCATATTCAACTAAGATTCTAACAATATCAATGGATTTCTCTTTGATAGCAAGAGTGAGTGGGCATTTATTAATATAAAAAGAATTTCATAAAGCAAAGTAGTAGGATATGATGGGTTATGTGACATTTTTTGTAAACGTAAGAATTCATACAATATTGAACGATTTTGTATCATTATTTTTAACATTAATTTTAAACATAATTTATTTTTTATTCTTACATAAATGACCCAACAAGTAAAACCAGATAAAATAGATTATCGAATTTTAGAGGATGGTGTTCCTGTTTATATTCAAAGATTTAAAGGGAAGCAATATTATAGAATTCTTAA